GAGATGCAGAAGAGACAAAAAAAAAATAGCGTTGTAATTGTCCATGTTCTAGGGGAAGATTCATTCAAAGTTTCCACGTTTGGTGACTAATGGAGCGAGTCCGATGTTTGGATGGCATTCGTCAGAACGGTCGGAATAGGCCCCCTGATCCCTCGGAGTGAAGGAAAGGATTATTAACAAACGAACAAAAGAACACACAAAGACAACCCAAAAAAAAAAAAAAAAAAAAAAAAAAAAAAAAAAAAAAAAAAAAAAAAAAAAAAAAAAAAAAAAAAAAAAAAAACCAGAAAAGAACGAGAAAATTGAGAGAAGAACGTAGCTTACCGTCATTGAAAAAAAAAAAAAAAACTAAAAAATGAAAAGAACGAGCCAAAAGAAGATAAGACAAAAAGGCACAATGCGAAGAAGAGCTTGCCATGATAGCCCGTGCGGGCTTGAAGTGCCAGTCCCATAAGTTTAAAGGGCTCTTCTTCGCATTGTTAAATCAGAGATGACTCTGCAGACATGAGCCAACTTTCTGGTGACGGAGACGAAATCAAGTAGCTTTGGAAAAGGACAACGTCGGGGCCAAAAAAAAAAGAGAAACAAAAAGAAGGAAACAAAATTTTCCGTGTAGGAGGACTGGGCAGCGGGCAGCAACGCCATGGTCACGACACCCTCGTCGAGAACACAACTAAAGCCTGGATAGAAAACGGACGAGCGACAGAATCACATGATTTATAAAGCGGCGGCTTCGAGCGCCAAAATCACATGCAAAATGATCACAACGACAACACAATAATAAGCATACATATGTTCACAGAAAACGACAGCTTCGCAAAATGACAAGCAACAGACCACAAGAACCCCAAGGGAATGTACGTGACCACCCAGGGAAAGCTGCAAGAAAAGAGAAGAGGGGACAGACGAAACAAACTGAAAACATAGCCTCGCACAGGCGAGCAGGGGAATCTGCAAACAGCAAGATAAAATAGGGAGGGGGAGAGGGGCAGGGGAGGGGGGCGGCGAGGGAGAGAGAGAGAGAGAGAGAGAGAGA